ATCTGCCTTCATTTAGAGACACGAAGGAGCCAACTAGAGAATATTGTCCCAAAGGTAATCATCGAAATCTGAATTTTGTTTCTGGTGCCTCAAATGTAAATGTCAGTGCAGTATTTGCTTTGCAGCTGTGATGCTTTAAAGCAGCATATATCTGCTTACTTTGAAAATACTGCACTACATGCACTACGTGTACTCACTGGCCATATTATTAGATACGCCTTGCTAATACTGCGCCTTAACTCTTCGTAGTTCAGATTCAAAGATGGGCTGAAAACCTCTAAGATTTTAGGTTAAATTGACACGATAGCATCACACAGTTGCTGCGCATGTGTCGACTTCACATCCACGATCTCCTGTTCCATCACACCCAAGTGTTGCTCTATTTGATTGACGTCTGGTGACTGTGGAGGCCATTAGAGTACAGTGAACTCACTGTCATGTTCAAGAAGGCAAGTTTGAGATGGTTTCAGCTTTGTGACGTGACCTGTTATCAGAAAATGATTACACTGTGCTCATAAAGGAGCCCAAAGTGTCAGGACAATGTCCACCACTCTCCAGTTTGCCTCCCAGCCATTCTCTACCTGCTCAGCCATGTCTACGCTCACCTGGACAAGCTGGCGTGCACTGTGGGAATCATGTTTTTTGAACTTCTCCAGTGCTTTCAGGTCAGTTCTACTGGTGGTAAATCGACAGCGATGCAGGTGGATGCCTCCCTAGTGACCTGGATAGTTTGCTAAGTGACTGGCAGACCACAGTATGTGCGCCTGCAGCACTGTGTGTCGGACAGTAAGTGTAGTAAGCGACACGGGATCCCTGCCGGGCACTGTCCCCTCTCCCTCATCTTCCCCTTTTACACCATGGACTTTAACTCCTGCATTGAGGCCTGACACCTTCAAAGGTTTTCTGATAACTCAGCCACAGTGGGCTGTATCAGGCTGTGGTGGGTAACTTTGTTATGTGATGCAGGCAAAAGCATCTGCAGCTTAACTTGGGCAAACTGTATGTGGATGAGAACACTGCTGACTCCTGCATTTGTGGGCTCTGGGTGGAGACAGTGGAGGATTACAAGTGTCTTGGTGTTCACAATGACAGAAAAATAAACTTCATTAAAAACACAGAAGGGCTCTCCAAAAACATATCAACTTCTGAGATGACTGAGGTTGTTTAATATCTGCCCGATGATGCTCACGGTGTTTTATGAGCCTGTGGTGGCCTGTGCCATCATCTGTACTGTGGTGTGCTGAGGCAGCAGGTAGCAGCAGACTCAATAAACTGAGCCACAAGGTCAGTCATGCTGTGGGTGTGGAGCTTTTAGTGTCTTTGTTTTACTTATTTTTTAGCAGAGAAAGTTTACATCCATCCATCCATCTTCTTCCGCTTTATCCGGGTCGCGGGGGCAGCAGCCTAAGCAGAGAGGCCCAGACCTCCCTCTCCCCAGCCACCTCCTCCAGCTTATCCAGGGGAACACCAAGGCGTTCCCAGGCCAGCCGAGAGATATAATCTCTCCAGCGTGTCCTGGGTCTGCCCCGGGGCCTCCTCCCGGTGGGACATGCCCGGAACACCTCACCCAGGAGGCGCCCAGGAGGCATCCTTGTCAGATGCCCGAACCACCTCAACTGGCTCCTTTCGATATGGAGCAGCAGCGGCTCTACTCTGAGCCCCTTCCGGATGGCTTAACTCCCCCTATCTCTAAGGGAGAGGCCAGCCACCCTTCAGAGGAAGCTCATTTCTGCCGCTTGTATCCGCGATCTCGTTCTTTCGGTCACTACCCACAGCTCGTGGCCATAGGTGAGGGTAGGGACGTAGATCGACCGGTAAATTAAGAGCTTCGCTTTTACGCTCAGCTCTCTCTTCACCACAACGGACCGGTGCAGCGTTTACATTTTCTTTCATATTTATAATTTTCAATTGTGTGTCGATAATTAAAAACAATTTCCCCTGCTGGATTGATAGTGTTTTGATTCTGATTATACCTCCAGCAACCTGAAATGTTGATACAAGGCATGATGGAGCCATGTGTTCATGTTTATGCCAAATTCTGACCCTAGCATCTGAGTGTGACACTCATTAGGCAAGGCGACATTTCTCCAAAGCAGTTCTTCTCCGATGTCTGGCATCAACCAGGCATTTTCATGCAGAGAGGTCACTGCTTTTCACTTCTCAGGAACATCGTCTGTGAACGTCAGAGGTGCTTGTGTAGGATCAGCAGTAAGTCAGCTGTTTCTGCCTACCTGGCACCAATAATGATGTCACGTTCATTGGCCGATATTTGTATTAACGAGCAGTTCGACATGTGTACCTAATAAAGTGGCTGGTGAGTATATATTGACTGAGCTGTTTACTTTGGTTTGAAGTCATGTTTGTTTTCTTGCACAAATCCATCGCTGACTTCTTGCCTGTTGCAGGAACGTCACGTAGTGAGTGTTCTTTGTGCGCGAGAGAGAAGCAGGGATTTGAGTCACAAGAGCCTGCCAGCAATAATTTGAAATTTACTTGGTTTATTTATGACAACATGTTAGCTACGCGAGGTCTTGTTTTGATTTTTTTCCTCATGATTCTAATACCCTTAAAGGTTTCAAGGATTATCCAGATAACTGGCAGATGATGTATTTCTCGGCTGCCAAGAAAACAAACTCAAGGCAAAGCAGTTGTTTGTGTGCCGTCTGTAAAGTTTTTGGTTCATCAGATCATAATCAGCTTACTTATAATTGCTCGACTATAACCAAAGAGGAGGTAAAAGCTCTGTCCGTCCGTGGCTGCACTTCAGTTGAAAGTACTGGAGGATCATTATTTTCCTCCCTGTGGTAAGGCTTTGATGGCTGTGGTTTTCTCTCCCACCAAGCCATCGTGGATCAGCAATAACAAAGCAGCGGGCTCATGCCATGGCTGACATCGGTTCAGGCTTTCTCTGCAATATGGAAAGTTTCATTAGATAAATAGGTGAGTCGTTTCCATGATTTTCCACGAGCGCTAAAGGACAAGCATTTCATTATTTTTTCAAGCAAACAGCCATAAAAGCTTCCTCTCCACACCCACAGCTACCGCTGTTGTGTTTGTCTGAGCATGAAGAGCTTCATCCTCAGGACATATGTATAAAACATGAGGAGGATTGTGCCAGAGCTGCAGAATCAGAGTTTGGGTGCCCCGGTGGCTTCACTCAGACTCCAAAAATAGGAAGTAAGCAGAAAGAAGAAAAATTATCTCAGGTTTCCCTCCTCTGAAGTAAGCCTCTGCTCTAATGGCCACTTTGAGAACCGTGTTGCACAGCATGTGCCGGTGCTTTTTGATGGTTTCCTCACTCCTGTGGATAGTAGGATTTCAGCTTATGGTCAATGGGCCCTCCAAATCATTTGCTGTATATGGTTATAAATCGGTCCATAAATAAACTGTGTTGTCACTGTATCCATATTTTTATTTTGTCTT